ATATTGATTAAATAAGCAAGTAATTTTTATCACATAAGTAATTCATAGGTGAAATAGTTGAATCAATAGTCCTTTTTTTTTTTTTCTAAAGTTGAATCAATAGTCTAAACCTTAAATTTTGCTAATGTACTAATCAAATCCCCCTCATTGTGTCACATGGTACCAGTAGCTCTTTTTTTTTTTTTTTTGCTTTTCTTTTTTTCCTAGATTTTTTAAATTTGTTTTATTTTTAAAAAAACTTTTATAAATATATTTTAAAGATTTCAAAATTTTTAGGTGTAATCCACTTTACCAAGCTTTTTTTATAATATTTTAAATCCATCCATTAGATAAATTTTATTTCTCTATTGAGCTTAACTTGAGTGCCACGTGGCACTCTTCAATTTTTTTATTTTTTAAAATTTTTTTAATTTAAAAAACTTTTTTATTGCATTTTTATTTATTTATTTTTCTTTTTTTATATTTAATAATTTTTTTTCATTTTAATTTTTTAAAAGTGGGATACCTTATATCAATCTTTCTTTTTCTTTTTGCTTTTTTTTTTTCGCACAATTTTTTATAAATATTTTTTAAGATTTTAAATTTTTGTACGAAACTCATTTGATAACAAAGATAGGTAATGTATTTAATTATTTTACCTTTTTCTTTTTTTGCTTTTCTTCTTTTATCATTTTTTTATATATTTAATTAATATTTTAAAGATTTAAACTATTTTTTATCTATTTGATACCAAACGTATGTTACGTCTCAAGTTATTTATTTTCTTTTTTCTTTTTTTCACTTGTTTTTCTTTTTTAATATTATAAATTGTTTTAGTGATGCCCATTTGATATTATTGATAAAATATTTTTTAATTTTTTAATTATATATTTTATTATCTATTTAATTTTATATTTATATATGTATTAGATTTCTTTTTTCTTTTTCTTTTTATCCCTCTTTCTTTGTTTATTTTTACTTTTTTCTCTTAATTATTTTCCCTATTTTTAATTGATAAAATTGTTATTTAATATCTTAATTTAATATATTAACACTTTAAACTCAATTGGAATGTCATGTTGTATCCCAATAAGTTCCATTTTCCTTTTTTTACTTTTATTTTTTATTTTATTTTATTTATTTACTTTTATAATTTTTAAGTTAAATTAATTTTGTAAAAAAAAAAAAAAAACTAATGGAAGTATCCTCGTAGTACCCCCAACTGATTTTTTATCTTTTATTTTTTTAATTAAATAAATTTTAAAATAAAATGTACCAATTGATAGAAATATAAAAGTAATTTGTATTTAATGAGTTTTAATTATTTCAATCTAATTAAAAAAAATTTAATATCTTTAATTATATAAATTTTATAAAAAAATAAAATCAATTAAAATATTCACGTGTTATTTTCTTTTGACATTTTTATCTTTCATCTTTTTATTTTTAAATTAAATAAATTTTATATTAAAAAAATAATAACCTGCAAAGTGCCAATATTGTGCTAATAAATAATTAAAAGTATAAAAGCGAGGCAAAGTATAATCGTTGTGACAAGAAAGTCAAAAGGTTGAGGCGACATATTCTATTAATTTATTTTACATTAAAAAGTAACTTATCCTTCAAAATACAGCTCATGCTTGTGTTGTGCCAAAGATTCCAAAGCAGATGGCTTCCATAACATGTCTTTTTCTCATTTGGTTGCCACCCATTTTACGTATATATTGTCTACTTTATTTTTTTTTAATTTAATTTAACATACTTTGCACTTTTGTTATCAATTGAGTTAGAGAAATCCTTTCAACAAAAAAAACAAAAAAAAGGTTACTGAAGTTATTTCCTGTGTACCTTATTTCACACCTCTCTTTATTACATATTATATACAGTAATATTTCTATCTAAAAATGAAAAGAAAAGAAATACTACTAACGTTTACATGATTTTAAAATTGAAAAATATGAGTTAAAACTACTCATTCTATTGTCGCTGTTGAGAGACACATCTAATCAAATATTATTTATTTTGATTTTAAGATTTTTGGGTTTTATTAAAAATAGTTTTACAAATATGAGTTTAAATTTATATTTATTATAATAAATTCTCAAAAAATTTTAATTCGAGAGTAGATCGTTACAATTATAAAATTACTTCATTTTTTCTAGCCATCTAAATAATTAAAAAAATGAATTTCAATCTTAAAAACATTATTTCAATATTATTATTTCCCTTCTTTCTTTTGTTTTTTTTTTCCTCTCACATGACATATCATTTAGAGAGTATTTGATTCACGAAATCGTAAATTCTGAGAGAAAATATAATCTCTAAGAAAGTGCAATACATGAGATTTTTTTTTATTTTTAGGGTATCTCGTGTTTAAATTTACTTATTTGATTAAGAAAAATCTACATATATTAAATCTTGAATAATTATTATAATCTCTTTGATATATATAATGGTTGTTAACCATTTAAAAAATACAAATGGATTATTTAAGATATTTTTATATCCAAAAATACCTTAATTAATCCACAATATTTTTTTTAAATGGATTATTTAAGATATTTTTTATCCAAAAACACCTTAATTAATCCACAATATTTTTTTAAAAGGGATTATTTAAGATATTTCTTATCCAAAAATACCTTAAATAATTTCTTTTAAAATTTATTAGTGAATTTTTTGAGACATTTTTAGAAAATACGCCTTAAACAAAAATACCTTAAATAATTTCTTTTAAAATTTATTAGCAAATTTTTTGAGGCATTTTTAAAAAATACGCTTTAAATAATACCTTTTAATTTTTTTATTTGGCTTATTTAATGTATTTTTGATAAAAACACCTTAGATAATCCCTTTAAAATGTATCAACGAATTTTTTAAGGCGTTTTTAGACTAAAATGCCTTAAATAATGCCCTTCAAAAAATTGAAAAAGATTATTTTAAGCATTTTTGGTTATTTAAGGCCTATCTTTATCTAAAAGTATTTTAAATAATATCTTTCAATTTTGAAAGGACTTATTTAAGGTGTTTTTAGATTAAAAATGCCTTAGATAATTATTTTCATTACTTATAAAATTTAAGAGATAAAATATAAAAACATTGGAGTAATTCAGTCAATTATAATATATGGCTGTTAATCATAAAGTTGTAGGTTTGATCTTTTCTTTTAGCATTTTAAGTGTTTTCTCCAGTATTTTTATATTTTATCTTTTAAATCTTATAAGTAATGAAATTGATTATTTAAGGTATTTTTAGTTTTAAAATATCTTAAAAAATCAGCTGATACATTTTGAAAGGTATTATTTAAGATATTTTTTGTTCAAAAATACCTTAAATAAAACATTATTTAAGGTGTTTTTAGTAAAAAAAAAAAAACACCTTAAATTATACTTTTTGATTCAAAAAAATCTTAAATAATCCCTTTAAAAAATAAAAAAATAACTGTTATTTCATTATTTTTTATTCAAGTCAATTTTTAAAATAACGCTACGTTCCCTTCCGGAATCCTAAAATATCACAGGAAGAAATGAGTTTTTGATTCCAAAATTTTGAGTACTATTAAAAATTTTTTAGTTTTCTTCGGAATCAAGTTATCTTAAAACAAACATTAGAATCGAATATCCAATAATAAAATTCTAAAAAAAAAAGTGTGAATTCTCCCTAATCAAATGCTCCCTTAAAAGAATCGATTTATGTTAATGGATGAATTGACTATTTATATATATATATATATATGAGAAAATACATCGTAATTATTTAAGTTTGTAGATGAATTTATTTGAATTTACAATTTAGTAAGTTAGCAAACAGCTCAAAGAAGGATTTGAAACGACTTTTTTGTTTTTAATTTTTAATTTACTTCTAATCTCAATTTTTATCTATTTAATACAATAAAAAATATTATGGATCTAAATTTTTTCAAACCAACAATTTACAAAAATCGGATCAACGTACATTCCATGTAAACTAATACTCAAATGCAAAATTGAAACGAATCAAAGGTAAATTTAAAAGGTCGAAATGCTCCGAGAGGCTATTTTTGTTGACAAAAATAGAGTTGGACCCATTCACATTTAGAATTAGTCTTTAAACTTTTATTAATCATTTACTCTCTTTTTTATAAATTTCATCTCAATTTAATCTTCTGTGGTTAAAAACTCAAAATTTTAGCCTTAATTTAACAATTATATACTTGCAAATTATTTTATCCAAAGTTTTAAAAGAGGTTTTTTCTTAAATTTTAATTAAAAATGATTTATAAATAAAAATATCAAACTTGAAAAAAATTTATTGAAAAAGTCCTACGTAAACATTAATGATAAGAAGAAAGTAGTATAATTTTATTTTTGAATTATTTATAGTTCGTATTATAATATGAAAAAGGTAATCTGTAATATAAAATTTTGAATAATCTATTTATTTTAAATTTTATATATAAGGAAATGCAAATCATGCTTACTTTTTTAGAATTAATCTCTTGAATAATTTTCAAATTAAATATTTAATATATTACTTGAATTTTTAAAATTTTTAATATGATATTTAAATTATAAAATTAGTAACTAATATAATATATTTATGAAAGCTGTTTATCCGTCACGTGTTATTAATAAAAAATTAATTATATTAAAAGTAAATATTATATTAATTAATATATTTATAATTTTTATATTATATTGAAATTTTTTAAATTTTTAATATTATATTAATGATTTTACTGTAAATTAGAAGTTATTTATGATATTAACATTTAAAAAAAATAATACTTTAAAAAAGATACTCATATAGCAACGTGAATTGATTAAATTTATAAGATTTAAATATTTTACTTATAAAATTTAAATTTAAATTTTGTTGTCAACAATTTTTCTCAATGAATGATGTAAAAATTCAATATAAATATTTTGAGCCTTGCATGTACCTACGAAGTTATCCACGTCATCAAAGATACGGATGCAAAGTGTGCTAAAGTTTTGGAGTGTTTGAAGAGAGAACGAAATGGCAAGCAAGTACATAAATGAGTTTGTATCTACTTGCTGCTGCTGCTGCTCTCTCTCAATTACCAAAATAACCTCTTCAATTCAATTTTCTTAAACGCCACCAACAAAACAAACACACATAGATTAAAGCATACAGATAGAAACTAGAGAGCCAATGAAGAAATATCTCTTTTGAGCTTTCACTCTCTATCTCTTTATCTCTTAACCATGTTATTGACAAGGAACATAACCTTAACTCCTTCAAATATATGTGTTTCTTGATCTGGGTTTTAACAATCTTTCTTTCTCCAGATCATAGTTTTTCTAAAGTTTGAAAGTTTCATTTCTTTTTTTTTTTTTTTTTCATTCCAAGTTTTTAACTTTCTCAAATAAACTAACACTGAAAAGAGAAAAAACCCATCTGGGTTTTTCTGTTTTTCAGTATGTTTGCTTGGTTTGAACAGATTCAAAGTAATGGGTTTCTTGTTAAAGATGCATATTGACTTCAGTTAATTTCAGGTAGGTTCCTCTTCTCTATCTTATCTATCTTTATAAATTTTTATTGTAATATTGAATTTTTTGTTTTGTTTATTTTAAGTTTGCCCCTTTCTGTTGAGTTCATCTATCATTAAATTTTTCTTTTTTTTGCTGGATCTTGATTGAATGAGCTAGTAAAGATTGTTAATTGTTTTCAAAGGTTTTTTTTTTTTTTTTTATGCTTTATAATTAGTTTTTATGTTTCTTTTGATTTTTCATTTAGTATATTGGTGTTCTCTCTGCTGCTAAGTGTGAGTTCATGTAAATTTCAATACTTTGTATGGATCGTTTAATGCTGTTCAATTTTTTCCTAGTTCATGTTTTGATTGGATATTGGCAGTCGTAAATTCACTTTATTCCCAATTGGATGTGGTGGAGATGTTGGAGAATGGTCTATTTCAATTTTCGGTCCTGGGTATTTTACAACTTGAAACTTTGGAAAGCACAAAATATTTCACTCAATCTGGTTTACTGTCCACAGAAAGTAGTTACTCGAGTTTTTATGTTATTTTTTATAACCCTTTTTTCTCATGGAAATCAAACCAGGATTATATATCCTCAGATGTCCTATCTGTAGCTTTTAAAAGCCTTGTTTTGATGTATTCTGAAAATTGAATCAGCCCTCTTATTAGTTTAATTAGACAGTGGCATCACTTAATTATAATGATTGGCTACTGGCTAGCCGTGTTAGTATTTGAGAGTCTATAATGTTCATTTAGGCGTGCTAAAGTAAATTTTTTTGGTGCCATAATTCTTAATGTGTGCTTGTCTTCAACTGAAATAGAAAGTATCTGTAAATTAGTCTGCATCAGCTGACTAAGGTTTTTTTTTTTTTTTTTAATAATTGCATTATTGATGAGACGTTTCTTTTTTCACCCCAGTCCTCATATCCTTCGCTATTTACATGACCATCTATAGCCTTTGTTAAAAAATATTGAGTTGCATATGTATTGAGTTTAATTTTGAACTTTTTTGAACTTTGTCAAAAATTCCTGAAATCTGCTTTTGTTTCTTTAACCAAACTCTTTTATCTGTGGATTTATGGTTTGGCAGATTGCAACTTTATTTGTAAGAGAGCTTTTCATTAGTTGAGTTTAAAATTATGGGTAGAGGTAGAGGAAAAGGAAAGAAGTTGACTGTTAGCAACCATGAGGATGCTGGAAGTGGTGAAGAGGAGAAAATTCCTGCACAAAAGAGAAGAGGAAGGCCACAAAAACCATTAAAAGACGAAATTGATGAAGAAGAAGTTGAAAAAGTAGAAGAAGAGGATGGTGAGAATGGAAAAGCTGGTATCACAAGCAAAGAGAGAAAGAGTCCCTCTACTGCAGAGAATGGAAAAAAGAGAAAACGTAACTCCTTGGTAAAAGAGAAGCCTGATTCAGTCAAAGAAGAGAATGGCATTGGCACCAGATCAAGCACCGATGACTCGTCAAAGTCTAATGGTTTTCGGCAAAATGGGAGTAGGCGGAAAAGTAAGCCACGTCGGGCAGCTGAAGCAGGTGTTGAGTGCAAGTGAGATTGTGGTGCTTATTGCTATGGGTCTCTTCTTTTTCACTTTGCCAGATACATTATGAGATAGGAAGTGAGGCCTAGTAAATCTCTAGTCAATATTGCATTCCGGTAATTGTTTCTTTTGATTTTGGCGATTCCCTATCTTTAATTCCTTCTCTATTTTATTTGGTTTTGGAGTTTTGGAACTGATTCTGCTGGTTGTAATTTTTTGATAATGCTACTATATTCCATGTCATCACTGGCTTCTTGTATTATATCATCTGGATAGCAATGCCAAGCTCTTCTTTTCACTTTATTTTCTCAGTTATTTGCGATTGGTATAGTATGAGGTAGGTACATATTAACTTGTGCAACTAATGGATAACATTAAATATTATTTTCCCTTAATTCTCAAAATTTGTCTAATGATATAAGAATCTATTCTGTTGCTATTTAAATTGTGTTTATGTTCTTTATGTAGATAGGTATTAGAAATAATTATGATATTTCTGCTTAAAACCTTTTCTTATCTAGTGCACTAGGGCTATATAGCTTCCCCTGTATTCTCCTAAATGCTTAATTTTGCAGTCAAACTTTTACGAACATGATTATCAGTTATGCTTTGCTCTCATGACATTCAACTGTTTCTTACTAATTTTTTAACTTGGTGTGGATAGACAGTTTCTTAATTTTCCCCTCTTCCTGAGGAGAACCGAGGAAGTTGCATTTTAGTCAACAGGATGTGGCCGGTTCTCAAATATGTAGCCATAAACTGGTAGTTTTAGGCATGAAAATTTTAATTAGAACATATCAAAATAGTTCATTTGCTTACTATGTGTTCATTGAATTTTGGCTGCATTTGATTTTGGAAGGACTGTGAGGACCTTGAGTTCTGTCTGAATGGTAAGCCTGTAGCTTCTTCAAGTTTCTTGAGGCCAATGCCTTATGCCGCCATGGGCTGTGACTGGAAAGATACATCAAATATGTTTGTGGATGTCTCTTTTTTTTTTTTTTTGTGTGTGTTTTATGGTAATTCATTGCTCGTAGTGCTGCTAGATACAAGGGCTGTAGATTATGTCACTAAGAGAATTATTTTGATTATTTTCTCTGAAATTTACTAATTTTCTTCAAATCACTAATCTTTTATCTTGGAGTTTTAAAAAATCATAGTTTTTCTACTTTTCTCAATTTTTCTTGTTTTGCATAATGTTTAAAGTGCCAACATGATCTTTGAGCAAAGGCTCTTCATAAATGTTTGAACTTTTGTGTTGGTAGACTATTTCGGTTGATATAAATATTCTCTGCTGTAAAAGGTCCTGGAGATCCGCCATTAATTATTTGTTGGGGCTAGACTAGTTGCTAAGCCATGAAATGACAAACTGCACCGTAAGTATAAAGCCTTTTAGAATTTAGACTGTTTTGAATATGATTGCATGGCATACATATGGGCAATTGCACCTGCATGTCACATACTTTGCAGGTACATATGAATATACATACATACACACATACATACATACAATACATAGATATTGATTATCTTCAATCAGTTAGGCTTGCACCTTTGCTTGTTGGAAGATGAGAAGTTAATTGGTGCCTGAAACGTGCTTCCATGATAATTGCAAGATTGTTTTGGAAAATGCTTGTAAGCTTGACCATTGAGAGCAGGCAAGGAATATGTAGGGAACTTATCTAGATGAAAGGAACATTTACAACACTGGTTTTAAAACAAGAGGTCTAGGGTTCTTGCTGTTGTTCTTGCATTTGAGGGATCCATTTAGGTTGCATGCTTTTGTTTGTCTTTTTGTTTGTTTGTTTATTTTTTGGGTAGGAGTGGAATGTTTTCTACTAGATTGTCATGACTGAAGCTCGCCGGAACTCATCAGCTGTATATTGTGGATTAATGTCAGTTTAAAATAAGTGGACTAGTACTTGTTATTTCTTTTTTTTATCAGATTTCATTTTGCCTATAAATAAAGTTGACAACCCGAATCTTAGTTTCATACAGCCATTCTTAAGAGGTAGTATTAAGTAGATTTAATTTTCAAACCTTAATGCCTGCAATCCCTTCCCCTACAATTTCCTTTGTACCAAAAAAAATTGCAAGGTGAAGAACTTTGTTTCCTTTCTATCTGAGGTCAGGTACTTTTTCAATAAAAATGCCAATAAATTTGCCATTTCAAATCTTTAAATAAGGTGGCATTTAGATTTCTCATAACAGAGTACACCCTGTACATACATTGCCGTGTTTTAGTTAAATTTGATAGCTGTCTACTTGACTTTAAGCATAATAATCCTCAAGTCTTTTTCAACTTTTATAGGTAGGTTTTAATTGGAGAACTTTGCTGCATGTTCAAATTTCAATATTAAATATGATGTGAAAAATGATTTAGCTGTCGTATTTTAATGCATGCAAGGCCAGGCCAAGGCATGACATGCTTTTTGGTGCTGTCTGCCAACATATTGGACCCATTTATATCCAAGTACATTCAATAGTTTATAAGTGGCTGCTTGGGGGGAGCATGAAGGAAAATTATTAAAATTTATTTGCCAACAAGATAGATGAATTCTGTCCACCAAGAGAGCCAAGGAATTAGAGAGTGCTATCTTGAAATGGCTGGTTCATTTACACTTAAGTATACCTATCAATTTGGTGGGTCGGGTCAATTTAGTTCGGATCATTTCAGGTTTTAAAATAATAAGATCAATTTTGAGTTGGGTAATTTTGGTTTTTTGAATTATTTTGGGTTCAGACTATTTTTTATTTAGGTCATTTAGGGATGTCAATAGATAGTTTATGAAGTGGGTAAAGCACTATTTATTTTCATCTTCAGGTTTTTATATTATACCCATTATTGTATGTATACCTAATAGATATCTCAAATTCATTCAATCTTCATCTCCATGTTAATGAGTAAGGGTAATTTTTATATCCGTAGTTTTTTTTTTTAAAATAAAATTTACTTTCTTGCTTTTTTAGTTTTATTTTACATATTTATGTAATTTTTATAAATATTTTTTAAATACAAATATATTAGTTCTAATAAATTTAAAATAATATTTATATTGTTAAATAAAAAATTAATTTATTAAATATATAAATATATATATATATATATATATATATATATAAGGTTTGAGGTGGGTGTTGTATTACCCATTCCCGTATCTGTATTCGATAAAAAATTTAAACTTATACCCATTATCATTTATATTTTAAAAACTTAATATTCATTTTTATTTTCATTCTTAATAGGGTAAAAAATCAAGTTCCTATCGAATTTGGATAAGATGGACATCTTTAAGATCATTTTGTTTTTGATATTTTGGGTTTGACACTTGGGTTGTATGGATTTGAGGCCTTTGGGTTCAATTTATTAATTTTTAGAATCAAATTAAAATTAAATTTAAACAAATTTTTAATCAAGTTTGAGTTATATTTTCTTATAATTTTATTAAAACATAAAAAAAATATTTTAAAAATAAATATAAATATTGTAATTTGCATGCTTTAAATTAAAGTTAATTTTTATATAAATGAAAAAAATATAATTTTATTATATTTGACAAATTTAAATATGATACAATAATATAATATCAAAACAATATGGGAAAAATTATATTGGTTTTTGGAAAAATGTGTTCTATGTTTAGTAATATCGATACAAAATTTGACACATGTAAGTTATAAAATGTATTTTTAATTATATTATGTCATATGAGTGGATATATTACAAATGAAAAACAGGTTTGTCACGTTTGATTGATTTAATAGTTTTTTGTATTTATTTTATATTAATAATATTACAATATAAATAATTATTTTAGTATAATCATAGCTCATTATTTAATAGCTTATTATTTTAAATTTTCGTATAATTGTAGCTCATTATATAATATATTGTAGATTACATGATTAAAAATCAATAATATAATTATAATGTAAACATTATGTATATACACAAATCAATTGGTTATTTTATATATTTTAGTCTAAATCACATGATAATTGATGCAATTTATTTTAAATGATACATTAATATGTATACCCCTAATAATTAAAAATGTATAATTTATTTTAAATCATATTATAAATTATGAGAAATTTTACGAGTAACATAACAAATTTATAATTTATACTAATTTGATATTACAAATATATATTAATTTGATATTTTCAATAATTTTAATAAGTTATCATTTATGTTATATTTATTATTTTTATTAGTGTTATATTTTTTATTTTAATTAAACTAATATTTTTAAATAAAATTATATTTAATTTATTCTCAAGTTATTTCAAGTTAATTTCTCGAATCATTTTGATTTTAAATCATTTTAAATTCATAATATTAGATTTCAGATTGATTTGAATTCGAATTTATTTAAATTTGGATTGTTTTTAGTTTCGAGTTAAATGAATTTAAGTCATAAGTTTCACTTTATTAAATTTTAAATAATATATTCTATTATGTACTTTGTATTTCTGAATGATATTGTCATATGGTTTGTTTAGATTTAGTCCGAAGATGGGGTGATTATGTGTAGGTTGTACATGCTCATATCAAAGATTACTATTATTCGGCAATGATTAATATTAACAATAAATGATTCTAAAAATACCGAAAATAAATTTAAATAAAAATATTTTAATTAACTAAATAAATAATATAATACTTTTTTAATTTATTGTATTAATTTTCAATTCTGTTTTAATTTACAGTTTTCGTTTCTGCGTTAGGTTTTATAAACTATTTTTAGTATACTGCATTGTTCCGGCTGACAGCATTACGTTAATTTACTGTTTACGTTGCTTAAATTTAATTCGGTTACTCCAATGTTCTTGTTTAATTTGGTTTAGACGGTTTTAGGTTAGTTATTTACTGCACTTATTTTAAATTGCATTAGTTAATTGTTTAATTTTTTATTATTCTGAATATAATTTAGGAAGTTAAATTTGAGTACTTGGTATAATTCTATTTGTAATTCACATATGAATAATACTCTATTAATCATTATATTACTTGTTAAAATTTAAGTTTTATGCATTCGTGGAATGGCACACTAAAGTATCATTTTATATATTTTCTTAAAGTTCAAGTATGAAAAGCGTGATTAACTAAGAGTAGGATCGGTAACTCAACCCGTCTCCGAAGAGTTTTTACTCAATCTGACCCCTTAAAATCGGTTTTTTTTTTAAATCGAGTTTTGAGTTAGGTCCAGTTGGGTATTGCTAATAAAGAGTTGGAGTCGGGTCGGGTCGGATTCGAGTTTTAGGCAAATTCGATTTGATCCGATATTTATATAAAAAATAATTTTTTAAATAATTTATTTAATTATATATTTATATAATTATATATTTAAATATTTATATTTTAAAAATAATATTTTATATTAAAAAAATAATATTTTATTAATTTCGAATCGGATCGAATCAAGTATGATTTATACAAATATCGGGTCGGATCAAAATTGGATATAAAAAAATTAAAAAAAATTTTTGGGTCGGGTCGAGTTCGAAATGAACAAAAATCCATCCTGACCCAACTCGTTGTCAACCCTACTCGAGAGGCAATAGTTTAAAAAAATGAAAGATTAAAACATCATAAAATATTAGGGTTTGGTTATATTAATAGTTTTAGAAGTTGACATTGAATTGAACCCTTGTTACAATATTCATAAAACCATACAAATAAAATGTTATTTTGAAAGTTAAAAAAAATATAGAGCAAAGGGGAAAAAAAATATGCAAAGTTTGATTACTTATTTTAACGGGTTAATAGCATTTGTAGTTTTTAAATCTTAACCTAAATTTTGTTTTGATCTTTAATAATTAAAAATTTTTAATTAAATTTTTAATTGTCTAAGTTTATCTTACTTTGTTTCTTTTGTGTATGGAACAATATATATTAACAGTAAATGCTAACTAACACCATGCGATGACATTAATTGACACTCACTTTCACAGAATTCTCTCACAATTTGAGATAAAAGCTCAAAATTTTATATATTTTATATATATCTTATAAAAATATTAAATTTAAATTTGAATTTTTATATTTCCTTCTAATAATTTAACTTATTAGTTAGATTTTTTGTTTTAAATAGAAAATTAATATTCAAAACTTAAAATTAAATTAAAAATTTTAAATTCCTTTTTAAAAAATTCAATACATTTTAAAAACAAAAAATAATTTTTATTATATTTTACTCATAAATCATAATAAAAATATTATTTTTATCCCAAAAATTTATTTTTTTAAATGTTAAATATTTTTTATTTTTCCTTTTAAATATATTTTATAAAATATGTTTTATAAAAAAGAAAATTAAAAAAAAATTAAATTATACTTTTCATTTCATATTAATATTAAGTTTTTTTACAAAAAATTATTCAAATTAGATTTTTAGGAGAAAAAAATAAAATTTTGAATAGATTAATAAATTTAATTTTTAAAATGATATGAAAATTTTTATATAATATTTTAAAACAATATAAAGTTATCATTTAATTTTTAAAATCGATATGAAAATTTTGACTTGATTTATTAAAACCATATGTAATTTATAAAAAATTATTTTGAAAATTTTAACTTAATTTTAATTTTTAAAAAGATATTTTCTATTAAAATATTATTTTATTGATGAATTATATCATAATAAAATTTTAAAAAATATTTTAAATTATAATATTTTATAAAATATATTTGAAATATATAAAAATCATTTTTTCTTTAATTGTTTTTATTTTTTATTATTTTTATAAAATATATTTGTAAAAGGAAAATAAAAGATATTATATATTTTTAAAATATATTTTTGGATAGAAATAATTTTTTATTATGATTTATGTGTAAAATAATATTTTTAATAGAAAATTATTTTTTATTTAAAATCATATTGAATTTTAAAAATAATTTAAATTTTTAACTTAATTTTAATTTTAAAAACAATTTTCTATTAAAAACAAAAATATAACTAATAAATTATATTACAAAAAAAATATAAAAATATAATTTTAAATTTAATATTTTATGAAATATATATGAAATATATAAAATTTTGAGATAGTTTCATTTTTTATTCCTAAACTTTGAAAGAATTCTATTTTAGTCCTTCCTCTACCATACGAGATGTCAACTGATATCATCATATGGCACTAGTTAGTATTTACTATTAATTTAAATGGTTCCATAAATGTAAAGACTAAAACAAAACAGCTTTGGACAATTGGAGACTCGATTAAAATTTTTAAAAAATTAAAGATCAAAATAAAATTTAGATCAAAATTAAAAGACTATAAATGTTGTTAACTTTATTTTAGCTATTGATGCAACCATAAGTATGCTTTGTGTAATCTTTGCGATTACAAAATGAACATGTTTTGTTTGTTTAACCATTTTTTCAATACTAGTTTTTTCCTTATTAAAGGAAGATGTCCTTTGGTAAAAACATCTAAGAAATCATAAAATCATTCTAGCATATGAACATTATCTGTAATGCCTCAAATCCCATATTGAAAGAATGTGTAGATAAGGAATGATATATATATATAGATCTAAACCTAAACTTGTGAGGTACCTTTTGTAGGACAAAATCATGAGATTTTCAGGTCAAAGCAAATAATACCTAGTAGGTTGGGTGTGGGTCTCTACAAATGGTATCAAAGTGGTCACCAATTGATGACCGTAAAAGTCACTAAGTATTACACGGTGGTCTGGTGTGATCTTGATCCTGTGGTTGAACTCGGCTTAACAGAGATATCAAATT